TCCCAGCCGCTGCGGCGCTCCGCGGAGGAGGGGACGACGGAGCCGGGCCGCCGCCGTTGAGAGGGGTCGCCGGCCGCCGCCCGCCCCCTCGGCCGTCGCCTGCGAGGTCGATCCTCCTGCGGGGTCTCCGCTGTCTCCTGCCGTCGCCGCCAGCGCCTCCCGATCGCCGCGATGGGGCTCCTGGACTCAGAGCCGGGCAGCGTCCTGAGCGTGGTGTCCACGGCGCTCAACGACACGGTGGAGTTCTACCGCTGGACCTGGTCCATCGCAGGTAGGGCGCTGCTCGCCGTCCTCGCCCGGGCCTGCGGGCCGCTGCCGCGCGGGGACTCGGGGACGGCCCCGGCGCCCGGCTGTTGGGATGCTGCGGCGCGGCGGCCGTGCGCGTCCGGCCCGAACGTTAGCCCCCCGCCCCGCGCGGTTCCTGCGGGCGCCCCCGCCCCTCCTCGGCCGCTCGGGTGCGGGAGCCGCCGGAGCAGGTGGAGCCGGTGCGGCCGAGGGCTCCGCGGAGCCGCCCCACCCGGCGCTCCCACGCCCGGCTCCCCGCGCGGCCCGGCCTTGCGCGCAGATGCTGCAGGTTCAATGTTCGGTAATGCGCGGCGGGGAGGGACGGCGGGGACAGGGCCGAGACAGCAGGCCTCCCATGCTCGCTGCCTTCTTGACCCAGCCCTGCTAATATTCTGTCCAGCTCATCCGTCTGTAATGTAATTTGGACTGAACCCTAAAATGGCATTGTCTGGCTCCTTGAACCTTCAAGAATGTTAGTTTCGGAGGCATTTTTCGGCAGCAAATATATGTGAAGTAATTGTCTGCAACGGCTTTGCGCACTGCAGTGCGGTGTGTGGGGGGGTCTTACAACGCGGGGAAGCAGCGACCATTCTTGGGAAGGGGGTCTCCAGGGCGGCGCCCGGAGGTTGTCCCGAGTCTGCCTCTGTGCGGTTTTCTTACATCAGCGAACTTTCCCTTTAGCTGTTGGAGTTAGTTTGGAAGCTCTGTCCGTGGGCTGCGTTACGCAGCTTTCCTAGTGCCCACTTGTGATAGTGGGAGATTTTATATTTTGTCATTTATTTCATTTGCTTCGCTGCTTTTGGTTTTAAAGCATTTAGAAGTTCTTTGTTAGAGTACTCTTGAGATGCAAATCTTCCCGGTTCTTCTGCAGTTTCAGGCAGCATCCCGTCAGGGAGGAATCCCATTGCAGTGTGACTCTGTCTTTGCTCCCTAGAGACGACGGTTATCCCCACAGTGTTTGTCTGTGCTGCTGTTGAGTGAACAGTGATAACAGCGGGCGTATAACCTGGGGTGTGGGATAGATGTGCGTTTGCTGGGAATATTTCTGGGTCACACAAAATGATTCTCTGCCATGGATGCTATGTTCGCTTCTTCAGAAAGGTATTTTGCTTTTTTTTTTTAATGAGATCTTAAATTTGACACTGGGAAATAGGTCATTTAATACGTCATTACAAATGAAAACGGTTAAAAGGCAATTTTTTATGGAGTTCTTGAGTTTTTCTCCAATGTGTGATAAATGGTACCTGCACAAACTGGGCAGACGTGCCCTTCTCCTCATCTCTGTGATTCAAGCTCTTAAACATTGCATCAGGCTCCCCATTACACAGCCATGCGGAGCTGAATATCAGACAAGCTCTGCCGGGTAATTCACTTTGCATACTAGGAGTTAGACGACGTTGAGGCTCTTCATCTCTTTACAGCCAGAGCCACACCCCGTCCTTCTCATCCTGCCTGTCATTCTCTTTCTATCCCGGAGCTTTCCCATCTCCAGAGTCTCAGACAAAAATAGAGAGCACAGATAGAACACAAAGTGTGTTCTGTACCAGGTACTTCTTTCCTGATGTTTGTGTAAAAACGCCACCAGTGAAATAGGAAACTTTGTGCTGTTGCCTCACGTGAAAGCTTGGGAGGGACATATGAAATAATGAAATGTTGCAGGTGACCCCGAGCAGTGAGAGCAGCCGCTGGAACACAAGTGACCTCTCAGGAGCACGTCTAGGGAAAGGTATTTGCGGTGCTCTGCCTATCCACTTACGAAACCTGAGACTGCTTCCCTGCTCTCTGGGACAAGCTGCCTTAGTTAGTAGGCAGATGGTATTTCTTAACCACAGAGAGGCTTAGTGGGCACGGCCTGCCCTGCCTTCCTGCTGTGTAAGGAAGAGCGTGTTTTAGGTTCAGACCTGAAGTGGTGTCCCCTGGCCTCACTCTCCATCTTCCCTTCCCTTGACTCATCACTCTGCTTGGATTCTCAGCATCATTTCCTGAAAATCCGAGGGGAGCAAAGTTGAAAGTGGCTTATTAGGTGAAGTTGAAGAAAAGTCAGTGAATCAGATGTTTGGAAAGAGGGGGAAATAACACTAGGCAGGAGAGGAAGGAGGTTCCGAGCAGGGGGAAGGCTGCACATCTTTGAGGGAGTTCAGAAAGGAGCTGGGCCCATGCCCTGGAGGGGCCCCTTCCTCAGGCTGTGGGTCTTTCTTTCTCTTTCACTAATTAGTTCATTAAATGACTCTCTCCACTGAGGTTTCTACCTGAGTGCAAGGAAACTGTATCTACTTTGCACTCTCACACAGGAATAGTTACAGATTTGTGGATTATGTTGGATGGTCCAAGAGATTTTTGCCCTAGGACAAGAAGTTTCTAGAAAAATGTTGTTTTGTGCTATTATATCAAATGGTACTATTTAATACAACATCTCCAAAGCAATGTATTAAAACTGGGCTTTTCAAAGACACCTGTCTTTGAAAATACGTAAGGTATTATTACATCTGTCTAGCAAATACATAATGTATTAAGACTGAAAATGTATTAAGACTAGCAAATACGTAATGTATTAAGACTAAAGATGTATTAAGACATCTGTCTAGCAAATACGTAATGTATTAAGACTGAAAATGTTATTTTTACTATATCTTTAACATTTTACACAATGGAATTGAAAGTTTGAAAGAGCTGTATATTTATTTATTTATTTTGAGACAGAGCCTCAAGTTGTCACCCTGGGTAGAGTGCCATAGCATCACAGCTCACAGCCACCTCCAACTCCTGGGCTTAAGTGATTCTCTTGCTTCAGCCTCCCAAGTAGCTGGGACTATAGGTGCCGGCTACAACGCCCAGCTGGTTTTTGGTTATAGTTGTCATTGGTGTTTGGCAGGCTGAATTCGAACCCACCAGCCCTGGTGTATGTGGCTGGTGCCTTAGCCACTTGCGCTACAGGCACAGGAGCCAGGAGCTGTACTTTTAGAAAACAGCAAAAGTAATTTTTAAATATAGTAGATTTAGGTATTTTCAATGAAGAAGGTGATGTTGGTTTATATTAGAGGAAAGTACAGACTGGTGTGGGACTTTATACCAGCTGAGGGTGTTGGAGTGGGTACTCTGATGTGCTTGCGGTTGGTTTTTTCTTTTATTCTTTCACTTTATGAGTGCACTAAAATTATTAGGACTGGGATCCTAGGCTCAGAGTGTATATCTAATTAAGAAACGTTGTATATCAATTTTTTTAAACAGATGAGAGAATCTAAGTATTCTCCAATCTATAAATACCCAGAGTAACTTGTCTACTGCATTTATTGTTTTTCAAATAAATGTTTATTATATATTTTTTGTGACCCAACATTTAGCACGGACGCTTCCTGTACAGTTACTGAGGATGTTGCAATGAAAGCCAGGTGTTTCCTGAGCAGCTGGGTTTCTTCCTGACCTCATTTTCAGCAGTAGCTGTCGTTCATGGCATGGGTGTACATGTCTCTTGGTTGAGGAGGGATTGGCCATTGCCCCTCTGTTCACCAATACGGTACCTCAAATTTTGGTGAAAAAAAAATTACATCTACTTAGCAGTTGAGGTTGGTGCCTAAAGGCCTTGCCTGGCTTGGTCCTTGAATTCTCTTTGGAAAAGAAGTGGCAGAAGGAAGGAGGGATGAGTGTTTCAGGAGGAGGGAGGCCTCCTTGGACAGCGGCAGGGTCTGGGAGGCAGGTGTGGAGTGTCCTTCACTCTTCCCATGCTCACTTGCCCCGGCAGGTGCAGTTCTAGGCAAAGAAGGATGAAACTTGGTTGCTGCCCTCAAGCAGCCTACAAGGTCTGGGGGTCCCTTGTCCTTTGTTTTCGTCAGTATCATAGTGTGAAGGCGGTGTGAGTGTTCAGACTCAGGCCCAGTGGGGGCCACAGAGGGTCAGCAAGTCCTTCTTCTCGTGTCTGCTTCTGCCACCTGCCCCTTGCTCTTGAGTTGTGAGGAGTATGGAAGCTTTGGTTCCAGAACATTTTAGCTGTTTCACCACGGGCTCCTTTCCCTGCTCTTGAATGAGAAGCTGATGCGGGAACGGGGACAGTATTTGGGGAGATGGGCTAGGGCAGAGGGTATCACGGCAAGGGGAGCCGCTTGGCTGCAAACCATTGAAACCGGGAATGTGCTTAAGGGCCAGTGAGTCATCCAGGTTTGCTGAAACATGGGTTAGTGGGAGGGGATGGTTAACTCGCCTCCCATAAGCTGGGTGCATGTGTCTCAGGGATGCCGGGCCCCAGAGGGGGCCCCTGCCATTTGGGGGGTTTTGTGGTAGGTTTATTTGCCTTTCACTTTTTTCCTTCACCATGCTCTGACTTTTGGCAGCAGACTCCTAAGCTTCAAATGATGCTCTCGTCCACTCCCCAGTGACAGCAGAGACGGAGTGTGCCGCGGCAGGTGGGATCTAGGGCGGCAGACCCTGCAGACGCCAAGCTTGCATGGGGACGCAGGTTTATGCAGTTAGACCCTTTGGCTTAGGGAGACAAAGATTTAAGAATTGTGTGCAAAGTTATGTCACACAGTGGCTTTGTCATCTTAAGGCCCACAGAGCGTTTGGTCATCCTTTTAAAATTGAATTTGTTTTCTTTTTCCCAAGTCATATGACAGTGTCACTTGGGAGTGATTTCACATGATTAATGTAAATGTTATTTTTCACTTACTGAGCCACTTACTCTGAACAGAGCCTGTGTTAGCGCAGAGATGAGTCGTGCGCGGAGTCTGTCGTCTGCGTTTTACAGCTTTTCTTTCCTCAGTATCAGGATATTTTTGTGTGTTACCAAATCAAAGGTGGGGGTGTTTTATTTCCCTTTAGAATGAAAATGGATTCGGCTCTCTATACTTTTAAATCTCACAGATTTGCACTTTTAGAACAGAGGGGGAGGAATCCGTGGCCTTTCAAACCAGTGTCCATATTAGCTTTTGACTGGTCACGTTCCCTGTCCGTGCACCTGCGGCTCCAGCCAGCTGGACAGTAAAGTGAGTAGCA